CTTGTACTGCTCTGTACCCCAGGGCACAGTCCTTGCACCACTGCTCTGTACCCCAGGGCACAGTCCTTGCACCAATGCTCTGTACCCCAGGGCACAGTCCTGGCACCACTGTACCCCAGGGCACAGTCCTTGCACCACTGCCCAGGGTACCCCAGGGCACAGTCCTTGCACCAATGCACTGTACCCCAGGGCACAGTCCTTGCACCGCTGCTCTGTACCCCAGGGCACAGTCCTTGCACAATGCTCTGTACCCCAGGGCACAGTCCTTGCACCTGCTCTGTACCCCAGGGCACAGTCCTTGCACCAATGCTCTGTACCCCAGGGCACAGTCCTTGCACCACTGTACCCCAGGGCACAGTCCTTGCACTGCTGCTCTGTACCCCAGGGCACAGTCCTTGTACTGCTCTGTACCCCAGGGCACAGTCCTTGCACCATGCTCTGTACCCCAGGGCACAGTCCTTGCACCATGCTCTGTACCCCAGGGCACAGTCCTTGCACTGCACTGTACCCCAGGGCACAGTCCTTGCACCATGCTCTGTACCCCAGGGCACAGTCCTTGCACCATGCTCTGTACCCCAGGGCACAGTCCTTGCACCGCTGCTCTGTACCCCAGGGCACAGTCCTTGCACCAACTGTACCCCAGGGCACAGTCCTTGCACCAATGCTCTGTACCCCAGGGCACAGTCCTTGCACCAATGCTCTGTACCCCAGGGCACAGTCCTTGCACCACTGTACCCCAGGGCACAGTCCTTGCACCACTGTACCCCAGGGCACAGTCCTTGCACCACTGTACCCCAGGGCACAGTCCTTGCACCAACTGTACCCCAGGGCACAGTCCTGCACTGCTGCACTGTACCCCAGGGCACAGTCCTTGCACCGCTGCTCTGTACCCCAGGGCACAGTCCTTGCACCAATGCTGTACCCCAGGGCACAGTCCTTGCACCTGCTGTACCCCAGGGCACAGTCCTTTGCTGCTCTGTACCCCAGGGCACAGTCCTTGCACCTGCTGTACCCCAGGGCACAGTCCTTGCACCAATGCTCTGTACCCCAGGGCACAGTCCTTGCACCGCTGCTCTGTACCCCAGGGCACAGTCCTTGCACCAATGCTGTACCCCAGGGCACAGTCCTTGCACCAATGCTCTGTACCCCAGGGCACAGTCCTTGCACCGCTGCTGTACCCCAGGGCACAGTCCTTGCACCTGCTGTACCCCAGGGCACAGTCCTTGCACCAATGCTCTGTACCCCAGGGCACAGTCCTTGCACCAATGCTCTGTACCCCAGGGCACAGTCCTTGCACCTGCTCTGTACCCCAGGGCACAGTCCTTGCACAGGGCACAGTCCTTGCTCTGTACCCCAGGGCACAGTCCTTGCACCAATGCTCTGTACCCCAGGGCACAGTCCTTGCACCAATGCTGTACCCCAGGGCACAGTCCTTGCACCAATGCTCTGTACCCCAGGGCACAGTCCTTGCACCACTGCTCTGTACCCCAGGGCACAGTCCTTGCACCAATGCTCTGTACCCCAGGGCACAGTCCTTGCACCACACTGTACCCCAGGGCACAGTCCTGGCACCTGCTGTACCCCAGGGCACAGTCCTTGCACCACTCTGTACCCCAGGGCACAGTCCTGGCACCACTCTGTACCCCAGGGCACAGTCCTTGCACCTGCTGTACCCCAGGGCACAGTCCTTGCACCAATGCTGTACCCCAGGGCACAGTCCTTGCACCAATGCTCTGTACCCCAGGGCACAGTCCTTGCACCAATGCTCTGTACCCCAGGGCACAGTCCTTGCACAATGCTCTGTACCCCAGGGCACAGTCCTTGCACCACTGTACCCCAGGGCACAGTCCTTGCACCAATGCTCTGTACCCCAGGGCACAGTCCTTGCACTGCTGCTCTGTACCCCAGGGCACAGTCCTTGCACCGCTGCTCTGTACCCCAGGGCACAGTCCTTGCACCAGGGCACAGCTGCTCTGTACCCCAGGGCACAGTCCTTGCACCAATGCTCTGTACCCCAGGGCACAGTCAATGCTTGTACCCCAGGGCACAGTCCTTGCACCAATGCTCTTTAACCAGGGCACAGTCCTTGCACCCCAGGTACCCCAGGGCACAGTCCTTGTAGGGCACCCCAGGGCACAGTCCTCGTGCATCCTTTGCACTGTACCCCAGGGCACAGTCCTTGCACCACTGTACCCCAGGGCACAGTCCTTGTACAGGACACAGGGTACCACTGTAGGGTACCCAGGGGTACAGGCACAGTCCTTGTACGGCACTGTACCCACAGGGTACAGGACACAGGGTACAGGACAGGGGTACAGGACACAGGGGTACAGGGTAAGGAGGGGTACCCGACACAGGGGTACAGGACACCAGGGGTACAGGACACAGGGTACAGGACACAGGGTACAGGTCACAGGGGTACAGGACACAGGGGTACAGGACAGGGTACAGGAGGGGTACAGGACACAGGGTACAGGACACAGGGGTACAGGACACAGGGTACAGGACACAGGGTACAGGACACAGGGGTACAGGACACAGGGGTACAGGACACAGGATACAGGACACAGGGGTACAGGACAGGCCACAGGGTACAGGACACAGGGTACAGGACACAGGGTACAGGACACAGGGTACAGGACACAGGGTACAGGACACAGGGGTACAGGACACAGGGTACAGGACACAGGGGTACAGGACACAGGGTACAGGACACAGGGGTACAGGACACAGGGTACAGGACACAGGGTACAGGACACAGGGTACAGGACACAGGGGTACAGGACACAGGGTACAGGACACAGGGTACAGGACACAGGGGTACAGGACACAGGGTACAGGACACAGGGTACAGGACACAGGGGGTACACAGGGTGCAGGACACAGGGTACAGGACACAGGGGTACAGGACACACAGGACACAGGGTACAGGACACACAGGGGGTACAGGACACAGGGTACAGGGGTACAGGACACAGGGGTACAGGACACAGGGTACATGACACAGGGTACAGGATACAGGGTACAGGACACAGGGGTACAGGACACGGGGTACAGGACACGGGGTACAGGACACAGGGTACATGACACAGGGTACAGGATACAGGGTACAGGACACAGGGAACAATCACTCTCTGGAAAGGGGACGAGAAAGTTATCAAATTGCAGAATAGAACCAGTGAAGAGTAGAGGTGCCATAGGCACAATCAGAGAACACTGACCACCAGAGGTCCAGTGAAGAGTAGAGGTGCCATAGGCACAATCAGAGAACACTGAACATCAGATGTCCAGTGAAGAGTAGAGGTGCCATAGCCACAATCAGAGAACACTGACCACCAGAGGTCCAGTGAAGAGTAGAGGTGCCATAGGCACAATCAGAGAACACTGAACATCAGAGGTCCAGTGAAGAGTAGAGGTGCCATAGGCACAATCAGAGAACACTGAACATTAGAGGTCCAGTGAAGAGTAGAGGTGCCATAGGCACAATCAGAGAACACTGAACATCAGAGGTCCAGTGAAGAGTAGAGGTGCCATAGGCACAATCAGAGAGCACTGAACACCAGAGGTCCAGTGAAGAGTAGAGGTGCCACAGGCACAATCAGAGAACACTGAACATCAGAGGTCCAGTGAAGAGTAGAGGTGCCATAGACACAATCAGAGAACACTGAACATCAGAGGTCCAGTGAAGAGTAGAGGTGCCATAGTCACAATCAGAGAACACTGAACATCAGATGTCCAGTGAAGAGTAGAGGTGCCATAGCCACAATCAGAGAACACTGACCACCAGAGGTCCAGTGAAGAGTAGAGGTGCCATAGGCACAATCAGAGAACACTGAACATCAGAGGTCCAGTGAAGAGTAGAGGTGCCATAGGCACAATCAGAGAACACTGAACATCAGAGGTCCAGTGAAGAGTAGAGGTGCCATAGCCACAATCAGAGAACACTGAACACCAAAGGTCCAGTGAAGAGCAGAGGTGCCATAGGCACAATCAGAGAACACTGAACACCAGAGGTCCAGTGAAGAGTAGAGGTGCCATAGACACAATCAGAGAACACTGAACATCAGAGGTCCAGTGAAGAGCAGAGGTGCCATAGGCACAATCAGAGAACACTGAACACCAAAGGTCCAGTGAAGAGCAGAGGTGCCATAGGCACAATCAGAGAACACTGAACACCAGAGGTCCAGTGAAGAGTAGAGGTGCCATAGCCACAATCAGAGAACACTGAACACCAGAGCTCCACAGCTGTTCAACACCCTCCCAGCAAGCATTAGAAAAAAAATGCATGAACAAAAGTGGATATATTTAAGTGGCACTTAAAATAAATTCTTGCAATAACTCCCTGACCCACCAGGCTGTTGTGTGTGTGTGCCTGTGAGTACCGCAGTCAGCAAGACGTGTAGCTGACCTCTGCTGTCTGCATCAGCAGGAACAAGCAGAACATCAGCAGAGTGAAGACTCAACTGAAGAACATGTCTGCAGGTTAAAGGCGTGGATCAGGGCACCATTGCAATTGTGTCCTGTTCCTCTAATGCTATGCAATCATTGCATTAGTCAGTACAGCTGATGTGTGTTTACTGTGGGTAATAACAGCTGATGTGTGTTTACTGTGGGTAATAACAGCTGATGTGTGTTTACTGTGGGTAATAACAGCTGATGTGTGTTTACTGTGGGTAATAACAGCTGATGTGTGTTTACTGTGGGTAATATCAGCTGATGTGTGTTTACTGTGGGTAATAACAGCTGATGTGTGTTTACTGTGGGTAATAACAGCTGATGTGTGTTTACTGTGGGTAATATCAGCTGATGTGTGTTTACTGTGGGTAATAACAGCTGATGTGTGTTTACTGTGGGTAATAACAGCTGATGTGTGTTTACTGTGGGTAATATCAGCTGATGTGTGTTTACTGTGGGTAATAACAGCTGATGTGTGTTTACTGTGGGTAATAACAGCTGATGTGTGTTTACTGTGGGTAATAACAGCTGATGTGTGTTTACAGGTGGGCGCCTCACTGTTCGCCAGCAATATAGGCTCGGAACACTTCATAGGCCTAGCTGGGTCTGGCGCCGCGGCTGGCATCGGCGTCGGAGCCTTCGAACTGAACGTGAGTCTTTGTTTACTTAGTACATCCCGCCTTTGACGTAGTGGTCACACCCGTCCCCGTCACCCATTTGGTCTGGGTTCGAGTCTTGGCCCTGGAGAATTGGAGTTTTAACGCATCGATAAAAAGGAGCGCAATTATCAGGTTTCAAACTGAAGACGGTTCATCAGCCAATCAGAGGGTAGCTAGGCATCTGACGTCATCGCCACAGGGCCACAATTGGCGAGAGAGAGAGGGGGGGGAGGAGAGGGACATGTTCATAATATACCAGATACTGATAGGAATAGACGTTGATAAGGTCTTATACCAGTAAGATAGACCACACACTACAGTGGCATAGATGAAGATAGACAGAGACTACAGGATGACCTGGACAA